TGGAGACCAGACTGAAAGAAAATGGTTTTCACCCTTAAAAAAGCAGGAACAATGGATGACACATCTCTTTGTATAAACATTAAACATCCAGAGTTGAGTCTCCAACCTGTGAGCAAAAAACATCAAACTCAGGAAAAGGAATTTGTTAAGATGTTTATTATATCAGCTACACAAGGTATATAAACATAAGCATAGTGGAAATGAATCCAGCAAATAAGAACAAATTCTAAGAAATAAAAGATGTCTGGGAATGTGTGTTTAGACAACCTGCAAATGCACTTCGGTCGTCCAATGTCCAATGGTTTTGTTGAAGAAATGTTTTTTAAAATTATCATGTTTTCCATTTTGTGTGTTTATATGTAGCAAAGCCACATCTGGCAATCTGCTGTGTCCAATGAGGGGAATTGAACTCCTGATTTTAGTGTTCTAAATCTGTAGACTTACTGCTGTCCCGCTGGGGGACTGTTTTCTATTTTGAAAAGTAAAATGATGAGATATAGACTGGAATGGATGGTTTACACTTAAATAGAGTAGGAGCTGGCTTGTATGCTACAGCTATTACCTCAGGTGTAAGGGAAGTTTTAAACTAAGATAAGACAGTGGTGAGGGCCACGATAAACTAAATGCAAAAAGAATAAGAGGCAGAGAAAAGTTTAACATAGGAAATGAGTATAGAAGTAGTTATAATGATAGGCTTAATTGCTACTATTGTAATGCTACAAGTATAAGAAATAAAAAAGATGACTTTAGAACACTGGTAGGAATGGAGGATTTTGATATAATGGGAATAACTAAAACATGGTTAAACGTAGGTGATTTTGAAGACAGAGGTTTCTTTGAAATACAGGGTTACAGGCGATTTAATAGGGATAAAGTACTAAAGAGGGGAGGAGTGGTTTTATATGTAAAATGTGAGTTACATCTTGTTGAATAATGAGAATGAAGATGGTTGATAAAACCTAAAAGATTTTATTTACAAGGTTCGAACGTTTCAGAATAACTTGTTACATCTTCAGCGTAATCTGGAAATTGTGTTACAAAGATGATTATACTAAAATTATAATATAATAACATAATCATTAGTTTAGTTAGTTACTAAGAGAAGTGGTAAATGGATGGATAAAACAATGTTTATGTATGTATTACACAACAGCTGAGTTAAATGTGAAAATTTTGTTGGGCAGTTATTGTCAAAGAGATGATATGCCTGAAAAGAAAGTGGTGATTTCTCAGTCTGTGACTTGATAGCCAAGAAGGCAGGGGAAGAGATAAACATTCTGGAAAGATGTCAAAAGCATTCCCGAAGGGTGTCAGCAATGTCTTGAACATCACAAAGTTAATGGCATATTGTAGAGCAAGATTAAAAGGGATGGGAATGAATCTAATCCATATGATAATAGTCCTTGTTTGATTGTACTTGTAATGTTTTCAGCTGTCGCATTACTGAGAACATAGAATGCTATCCATTTCTTGTATACATTTAAATCATTATCGACATATATCACACACAAGCTTAATTGCTCCTGATATGCAGAGTCACAAACTTCCTCACAAATGATGCCAAAAACACTCCACAACATCACAGAATACATTATGAGCTACGAGTTCCATGATTTCATTCTCTGAGACCTAACTGCAGTATTTATTACAGACATGTGAAGAAAAATGTATCAAACTGAGGGTTGTGCTTTGATACCAGCTTCAACAATTCCATAAAGTTACCTTCATGAGCCTCAGTGCCCCTGTATGCCAAACCTTGCTTTCCCAAGATATAATAGCATTAAAAATCACCTCAAGTGGTTCCTATTTGTCTTCCTTCTTTCAACTTCTTTGCTGCTAACATACTTTGCTGTTGCGTCTTATGTTTCGATATTGATTTTTCTAGTCGTGCATTCTCTATGACTCTGACTTCTGTCACACTTTTGTAGATCATCCTTGCCCTTTCTAAAATCATTCCATCCTATTACCAATGGAAACTGAGGAATGCTTTGATGATAGTAAGTAATTACTTTGTTCATGTACATACATGGTAAATTATATTATTTGTATTACACCTCTATTCAACCAATGGGAAGAGGTTTTCTATCTTTCCTGGAAAGTTCAGCCTTTTTGCTGTTAATGTTTTTGTTACAACTGTGAATGTTAATTCTGCACATTGTGATGTTGATACTGACAGATTCACCATTACTGAAGTGAATGTTAATTCTGCACATTGTGGTGTTGATACTGACAGGTTCACAGTTACTGAAGTAGATGTTAATTCTGCACATTGTGGTGTTGATACTGACAGGTTCACAGTTACTGAAGTGGATGTTGATTCTGCACATTGTGGTGTTGATACTGTCAGATTCACTGTTACTGAAGTGGATGTTGATTCTGCACATTGTGGTGTTGGTACTGATAGATTCACCATTACTGAAGTAGATGTTAATTCTGCACATTGTGGTGTTGATACTGTCAGATTCACTGTTACTGAAGTGGATGTTGATTCTGCACATTGTGATTTTGATACTGACAGGTTCACTGTTACTGAAATGGATGTTAATTCTGCACATTGTGGTGTTGATACTGATAGGTTTGCTATTACTGAAGTGGATGTTGATTCTGCACATTGTGGTGTTGATACTGACGAATTCAACATTACTGAAGAGAATGTTGATTCTGCACATTGTGGTGTTGATACTGACGAATTCAACATTAC